TTGAAGATCTTCATTCGCAATCTCACTTGCTTTAGCACTGAGAGTAAATTGCTTTCTAAGGAAGAAACTATCAAGGACACAGCTGAGGAACACCCACAGGAGGAAGCAAAGCCCACATTTCAAAGGTATTTTCAACAAGTCTGGTAGTTTATTTAGCCCAGAAATGTCTTAGCGATTTGAACTCTTCAAATAAAATGTTATATAAACAAAATTCACTTCCAGATGGTGGAATTTACGGAGAAAAGAATTTAAAGAAAAGCGGTTTGAAGAGTTGCAGTCTGTATTCTTGGCAAAAGACCCTCACAATTTTATTTAGGAAACGAAGATGTTTTTGAATTGCAAGTACACATAAGAGCATCTGAAAGCAGTCAACCTCCTTGTTATTTCCATCCTATTCCTCAGCAAGCTTAATTGTTTTCACATTTATAAACAATTTTAAATTGAAATGCATTTTATCCTCAGCATTTTTCATCTCAGATCTCCATTCCTACTAATGTTTCCAAAGTAAAGAGAATAATCTTGGAGTATTTCTTGTGTGAGGACTATAAAGATTGAGTGGTTGGGAAGAGGAGGTAGGGAGCAATAGACTGGCCCCTTCCAGCAACCATGACACTCTTGCCTAAGGACTCAAGTTCTTCTTTCTCCTACCTTCAGTTCAGACATGAGTGTCTGTGGGCTGGTGTGGTACAGACTGGAAGATTAGGCTCCAGCTCCATAATTAATAGGAGTGTGAAGTCTGTGGGGAATGCAAAATCTGATTGATTCATTGTTCATTTAATTAACCAGTCTCTTTGTTTTCCTCTTCCTGCTTTTTAAAAAAACACTATTTTTATTTTTCATAAATATTTTAGATACAAACAATTCTGTTTCCTCAGACTTTTATAAACACCTCCACTCCCTTCCTCTTTTAAGATATCCAAATATGTCCAATTTTTTCTCTAAGGGATGCCAAAACAATTAAATTTTGCATAAGATAAAATTTCCCTTGTCAATTCTATTTGCCACCACTATATCCAAACCTCAATATTAATTTATTAATATGTATAAACATGTATGTGCATGCACAGTACACAGTTTTTTTCCTTCTCTATTATCTTAAACTAGCTAGAAATGTTACTTTAGGTTTGCCCAGAATGTCTTTGGAATTATTTTGATTGTAATGATTAACTTAAAGGTGCTCAGTCTGCAGGCCATCCTGCAATCTGTGTCGTTGTTACTTATATCAGTGCACTTACACTCCTAGAGATACCCAACCCAGTCTTTTGGGATTTTAAGGTAAGGTAATGGGTGTAAGATGAACCAAGGTCTATCTACATGCTATAAAGCACATTTTGAGCTCCACTTAACATTTTCCCATTTAATCCTTATAAAAGCTGGTGAAGTAAGCATTACCAGCTCTTTGTACCTACATGGAAGCCAAGGCTTAGGGAGTCTGGGCTAGTTAGGTTAGAGTTGAAGTTTCACATTTTGAGGAGGAAAACCTCTTATTAAGTTGGCCTTTTCACAGTGCCTGGAGTCACCAGTCATTTATAAGGCACAAACAAGTTTTAGTTTTGTCTTCAAGACTTGCCGAGGTTTTATGGAGAATAAAGAGAAAGCTCCACAACAGGGGACTAAAACGTTTCAGCTTCGTGCTATTCCAGGGAGAATGCTGGAATGCTGGAGGTAACTGTGGGTAGGGCTGTAGGCAACTTTCCAGTCACTTGTGGGTCCTGGGGAAACTTGGGTGTTGCCTCATCTGCGATCAGCAGGACATCTGGGACAAGTTGTCTCAGTGCTGCAATGGCTACAACATGGCACAGGTGTCCATTGCCCCAGGCTGTTACACAGACGCCATCTGGGTCCTCTTTTTCTCAGGGGTCAATTGGGTGGAGTTGGAACTTTTCCTAAGGATTGGAAGACACTTGGCTGGGCTACTTGGCAACAATAACCCTCTTTAAGACACAAACACACACACACACACACACACATGTTTAAAAATTAGTCAAACTCTTACATGTCAAACATGATTTTTGTACTTAAATGCAAGTTTTGCATGAGAAGCCACACATATCATCTGCTTTATTTTTTAAAATATTTATTTTTTAGTTGTAGTTAGACGTAATACCTTTATTTGTTTCTTTATTTTTATGTGGTGCTGATGATCGAACCCAGGGCCTCACACATGCTAGGCGAGTGCTCTCCCCCTGAGCCACAACTGCAGCCCTCATCTGCTTTATTTTTAAGGCTTGAAGGCTTCAACTAAATTAGGAGACAAACTGATGAGCAAAGAAAGCAATTCTCACTAAAAAGTAGCATTGTTTGGGGAAATTCAGGTCCCCCTAAAGAGTTAGCCTAGAAACCCCTCCAAATAGATGAGTAACAACCCCAGAATTAGGATACAAACTCACCACCTGTGCAGAGTTCTCCCCATTTCCTCAGGGTACACTAGAAGAATTGTCTAGAGAGTTGATGGCCTCTTTGATCACAGTAAATAGCTTTATGGCAAAGAGTAGAAAAAAATACATTGTAGAAATACTAAATTGAAGGTGTGAATCATTTGATGTATACCAAAATTTGTTTTTTGTCTGTTTTTTGGTGGCCACAATAACTCACTTGTTGTATTTTTATGAATTTAGTTGTTCCAGGTTGTCTTTGTTTTGTTAGTATATCCTCACTCCACAGAATAAACTTACTCAGCTGACCTACATGGTAGCTGAAGTCACGTTGTGTTTGAACATTCTCTCCAAGGTTGAAGCAGGGGGAAGAATCAGGGTAGAAATTGATAGCTGAAGGCCCTTTTGCAATTTCCACTTTCCTAAGACAGAATATCCTTCTTCCCCAGCTACTGATAACCTTTATTTAGAACAGAGTAAATCACTGGACTCAAAATTTATGTTCTACACTAAAATCTGCTGGCAAACTACTTGTCTTTGCTCCAAGTGTCACTATTCATTGTGTAAATGCAGTGCCCTCAAATAATTCCACATCTTACCGACAGCCTCTCACTGACCCCAGGTCCTCAGTGGGTGTTTTTGAGTAACATATTGTTCGTGGTCACACAGATCACCTCTGACATTCACAGATGTATGATTGCTCAGTTGCTGGAATCTTTTGTTGAGAGTCAAATAAATGCATTAGATTATGGGCTTTGTTTGTTGTTCTTGGCCTCCTCCCTTTCTTTTGTACTTAGAAATTATTTAGGGATTTTTAAGTATTTCACAGATGCAACTTTGGCATTCTCATGGCTCTGGAATTACAAATTAGAATTTCATGCCTTCTTTACAGCTGGGATGGAGAAGGAAGACATTGAACCTCTGGCATTCAGAGTTTTTCTATCTTCCCCCTGTGCTGAAATGAAGTGAGAGTATGCAGCAGTGGCTCTCGAATTAGGAGCAGCAGGAGGGACAGAAACCTGGGTCCTGGCAGTGAGAGTTGGTGAACATTTCTGCTTACCTTCTCTCCTGGCCAACCTGGCAAATTGTGCATTGGTGTGTCTACCCCAGTTCATTGATACAACTCTTGGTGACCAGGCCTCTTGGGTTTTCTCCCCATAAATGCAGAGATCACACAACAGATGAAGGGCCCTAAGGCTCATGCATATGGTGGGCTCTTTGGATTTTGCAATCTTCCTGCCACCCTTATAGGGAGGGGCATGTCCCTTCATTTTGTCTGTTGTCATATCAGTCCAGACAAAGTCAGAATTCTTGAGGCCTTAGCTTCAAACATTGGACTTCCCCTTACCCACCCCATAATTGAATCCTCTAAATAGTAATAAGACCTGAAATTCAAACCTGTGAAACTGGGTTCTGCCTGTATGCCTACTTGTTCAGGACAGCAGAGACTTTTAGAACTTTTGTTAAGTTCCAGTATTTGTTTAGGATTAAGGCTTTCTTATTATTCAGTAGCTGTGACCACTTTTAATCACAGTTTGTAGTAGTACAAATATGTCACTTGGTGTTTTGAACGGGGAGGCCTAGTGGTAAATGCTTTAGTTTCAGGAGACAAAGAGCCAGCTCTGGATACTCCTAAGCAAAACTGAGAAGTAGGAAACTTTCTCATGGCCAACCTACTCCTCTATCAATCAATCTCTGTCTTTTCTCTCATTATTGATTACTAAACTTTACCCTGGCGACCATTCATTGATTAGGGCTGGGCATAGTTGCACTTCATATTCCCCATATCAGGCTTAGAAGCTCTTTTATTCTCCCCACTTCACATTTGAGGAAAGAAGACACTGAGGCTTTCGGGTGCATTTTCTGCTAACAATCTCAGAACCAGAAAAAGGCAGAGCTGGCTTTGCCCAAGTGAAGTGCACATCCTTCTTGGCTCATTCTTCCCCATCCCCATCATAGCAGCACTTCAAAGAAAAAAGTAAACTGATACTTTGAGCCAACATAACAAAGCTTATTAAGGATTTTATGAGACAACTGCTTAAATTGAATATAAGCACTTCACCTTTACTTCCACAGATATTTGTAGTTAAATAAGACTCAAAAACAAAAACAGCAATAGAGATGTGACTCAGGGGTAGGGCTATCATTCAAGCAGGAGCTACCAATGATTCCTCCAATCATTCCAGGGTTGTGGCTCTGTGCTGATAGACTGAGCCCTGCACAGCACAGCTTTACACACACAGCAGACACTTAATTACTGCTAATTTTAATCAGCTGGTTTTAACTCAACTGACATTCTCATTAAGTGTAAGAAGAGCACAAGAAAAGCTGCTTTGATTAACTTTAGTTTATTCTATCCACAAAACCTTGGCTTTACCCACCATCTCTTTATATTTGAAATACTCACTGTTCAGAGGTCAGGTTCTTGCTTTTGTTTTTATTCAACACATAGATTATGCTTTGAAAAAAATTTTAAAAATAGTGTTGTCTAGTTCATGAAAATTTATGTTTGGCTTTATTTATCTGTCTCTGAATTGACCAGACAGAAGGTGAGCTCTCCGTGTTGAATTTGATTGAAAAGCCATCATAATGTTTTGTCTTGTCTGTCCTTGGGCACCATTTTAGCACAAACATACTTTTGGATGATCAGTTTCAAGCCAAACTAACTGATTTTGCCATGGCACACTTCCGACCCCACCCAGAGAATCAGATTTCTACCATAAATGTGACCAACAGCAGCAGGAAACATCTGTGGTACATGCCAGAAGAGTATATCAGACAAGGAAAGCTTTCTGTTAAAACAGACACCTACAGCTTTGGAATTGTAAGTGTACACTGCTGGCTAATAAGCAGGGGAGAGTTTATTGCCAAGAATGTTCTAAATTCTGAAAAGAAATTTTAATTAATTATTATTTTAAATGTTAGCTCGTATTAGTTATACATATTAATGGGTTTCACTGTGACCTTTCCATATATGCATAGGTCATGTTTGAATTGTATCCATCCTTCCTACAACCCTCTCTTATCCTCTCTATTCCCTGTTCCTGACCCCATCCCCTTCCCTAATGGTTCCTCTAAGAAGAAACTTTATAAAAGTTTTAACTTTTTGACTTATTGATTTCTGCCACTCATTATCTAATATATCAATTTGTGTCATCAATGAAGTAATAAAATATAAAGACATTTATTAGAAAGAACTATATTCATTGTCATGGTTAATAGGTGCAACAAATGTTGTGTATGCATTCAACGTATGTAGCTGACTTTCTATATGTTTCTCATAGGTAATAATGGAAGTTTTGACAGGCTGCAAAGTGGTGTTAGATGATCCCAAACATATTCAGCTGGTAAGAACTATCTTTTTGTTGACACCCATTTTCTCATTTTTTGACCCACTTGTATGTAATAAGATTTTCTCCTCCTCTTCCTAGCGAGATCTCCTTATGGAATTGATAGAGAAGAGAGGCCTCGATTCATGCCTCTCATTTCTAGATAAGAAAGTACGTCCCTGTCCTCGGAACTTCTCTGCCAAGCTCTTCTCTTTGGCAGCCCAGTGTGCCACAACTCGGGCAAAGTCAAGACCATCTATGGATGAAGTGCGTATTTATGTGGTTTTATTCAAAATGGAGCCTATCATGCAGTATCTATGTTGGATAAGTGGTGTATCTGGGTGAATTATTTATCAGTGAGACAAATTAAGCTTTCAACAGAAAATACCAGCCTAATAGATATTCCTTTATAGATCAAAAGTTATATCATTTGGTACTCTGGTAGAGGTCATTATTGAGTAGAACCAGAGCATCACAAAAAAATATAGTGAAATGTAGCTTGGAAGGAATACTTATTCAGCATTTATTAAGATATCTGGCCCATTAAAATGCAACATATATTTCCCTTTTTCATTTTAAAATTCACTCTTTTGTCCATAGGTGTAGTCATGCATTCACTGATTTGTTTATTTGCGTGTAAACAAACACTTACTTAATCTCGCTTTCTATATGCAGACTTTGTATTTGGTGCTAAAGATACAACAGTGTTCACTATACAGTGTCAACCCTCAAACTCCAAATAAGGAGTCAGATGAGTAACTTGGGATATTGGTCCAGCAAGATGGAAGCCCAGGCTGATGAGATCGTAGAGTCAGAATACACTAGCCTATGGTAATCAAGGGAGCCTCTTGGTGGAGGTGACCGTTTAGCTATGATGTGGACAGCAGGTTGGATGGAGACAGCAGTAAGGATGGAAGGACATTGCAGAGAGAGTCAGCCAGTGTGGGCTCCAGGTGGTGGAGTCCGGCATTAAGACCACAGGTAGGCCAGCATCATGGATGTGAGGTGGGGGTGAGGGAAGCCCACAGTACTTAAAATATCAGAGACTTCTGGGTAATAGAGGGACATGGATTCCATTTTGAGGGTTTGGATTTTATTCCAAGTCATTGTAGAACCAAGGACAGGTTTTAAACAAGGACTCAACATAATAAAAATGGAGTGGGAATCAGGAGAGCATATTCCAGGCTGACACCACTAGGAAGAGCTGTGTGGGGACCTGGGACCAGAAAGGAGCTATGAACTGTGGCTTTGGAATGGAATTGAGAGCCAGGAGAGGGCTCCTCCTTACTTGCTGGTGATATTTATTCCTTTTACTGAGTTTCAGCTTTATTATCTATAAACTCAGAATGAGCATTTTATTATTTGTTAATGAACAGCATTATTATATTATTATTTGAGTGTGTTAAATGAGAAAATATATGTGAAAAGACTTTACTAATTGTAAAACTATATGCATTTTTAAAGAGAGAGACAGAGGAAGAGAGAGATTTATATAGGTCAGGGGTCTCAAATCTGCCTACACATTCAGATCATCTAGGAAGCTTTTATAATGCACATCCATGGACCCTGGTCTCCTTATTTTTTTGAATGATAATCTGTACATTGGAGCTAGGGGGTGAGGGGATCTGTATTCAGAAAGTTCTGTGGGCAGTTTTGGCATTTGAGAACTACTAATGGGTTACCTCCCTTCTGATTGAAGTCAGACATGTAAAGACTCACCCAAGGCCACAAAGCTAGCTGTTGGAAATCTAGAACTAAAATTGGGTCTCATGATGTTTAATTCAATGCAGTTTCTTTTATATCTTGCTTCTTGTCCTCAGAATGAAGGAGTTTCTCTAGTCTTTAAGATCCCTTCTAATGCAAATTCAGTAATTAAACTTATGAAAATGAGAAAATATTCTTATAATTGAAAAAAAGGCAAGAAGGGATATTTTTCAAGCCTAACTCAATGTTCGTTTGTTCTTCATTAATTAGGTCCTGAATGTTCTTGAAAGTTCGCAAGCCAGCTTATATTTTACAGAAGATCCTCCCACATCCCTGAAATCCTTCAGGTGTCCTTCTCCTCTATTCTTGAATAATGTACCAAGTATTCCAGTGGAAGATGACGAAAGCCAGAATAATCATTTGCCACCTTGTGATAAAGGTTTGAGGACAGATGGACTGACTCAGAAAATTCCCTTTGAATGCAGCCAGTCTGAGGTCACATTTCTGGGCTTGGACAGAAAGAGAGGCAGCGAGAGAAATGAGGATGCTTACAACATGCCCAGTTCTTGTGAAGAAAGTCTGTCTCCAAAGCATGCAGCTTCATCCCAGGGCTTCAAGGCCACCGAGGTGAATTTGGACTCCTTTTTAGAAGACCCAGGCTATCCTTCCAGCAGCAGGCTAGTGGAGCCAGGGTGCTCCTCTGAATTTTTCTGTAATAAATATGAACCATACAAAAAGGATTAAAGTTCACCAGAAGGTAAAGAAAAAAGCAAGTGTTGCTGAGGCACTTGAGCAAAGGCATCGCCTTGCGAAGACATCATCTCCTTAAGTTAGGCCCAGAGAATGGCTGGTGGTGAATTTGGGGTAATACAGATAAACAATCTGGACAATTCTATTCCTTCCTTCTCAAACCCCCAAAACGGAGAGGCTTAAACAAATGTTTTCTCAGAGTGATTACCTCATGACCAAATCCAAACTAAATTAGAGCCATTCAAAATTATTCAATATCCTTGGTCTGACTTCAGCAAAACAAAACAATTCAAACTTACCAAAGAGGGACAAGATTCTCATGTCTTCTCCATCTCTGTTGAAGTGAGTCTGGGGAACCTCCCACTGCAAAGGACTTTCAGTTGCATTCTGTTGTTTGGTTTAGCTTACTTAGGAGGGTAGCAGGAAATGTCTAATTTGTCAATGTACTTTGTGATCAACTGTAGTGTTCTTCTGTTCATCACTGTCTAAAAACAAGCCAAGTTCACGTTTGGCCAGGGTGTGCTCTGTGTAGCAAGATTCCTGCCCAAGATCTATATTTCTATATTTAAACTCTTAAGATAGCCTATTCTATATAATCTAATTGTTGATTATTCTTATAGATTTTTACTAACTCAGAGACCTGTCATATCTTGAGCAGAATATGTGACATTTTAATCAAATAATTTTTGTTCAAGAAAATGACTGGTCAGCAGTGTAGGTCAGCTTTTGATTGATACTACTTGTGCCTTCCACCCTGTGTCTCCCCTCTTGCTGTTTCCTGGAGCTCCTCTTTTGATGTCTTAGCCAGTCATCAGGCTCTGCAAAACTGTCATCCTCCAAAAAACCTCCCAAATCTCTCCAACCGAGGGACTCACTTTATCAGCATTTCCATAGCAATTTTTTTGAATTTTTAGGCTTGTCACATTCCAAAATGTATCAAAATCAATCTTATCTCTGTTACTAGATTGCTAGCTCCCTTTGTTTTCTGTTGTCACTGTAACAGGATATCACAAATTTAGTAGCATTAATTATTTTACAGTTCTGCAGGTCAGAAGTCCTTGGCAAACCTTCTGGAGCCTCTAGGGGAGCCTGTTGCCTCTTCTAGCTTTTTGAGACCACCTGCATTCCTTGGCTCATGGTCTTTTTCTCCATCTTCGAGGTCACCAATGTAGCATCTTCAAACCTCTCTTTCTCCCCACCCCATCACTTCCCCTCATACTCTCTCTCTTTCTTAATTCTTCTTTATTACCTTTCTCTTGCTCTGGCCCTTCTGCCTCTCTCTTATAAAAAACTCTGTTATTGCATTGGGCCTACTCAGATAATCCAGGGAAATTTCCTTGTCTCAAGATTCTTAAATTAATTGCATTTATAAATCCTCTTCCTCACGTAAAACAACATATTCACAGATCACTAGGATTAGGACATGGACGTCTCTGTGGGGGCATTGCCCTATCACACTCCCTGAGTGTGTAAGGGCAACCTCCTCAGAACTTAACATCAGCCTCCTCAGAGCAGGTATATTCTTATAAATTAAGTTGAATCAAACTATATATAATATATACATATATATATATATATATATATATATATATATATATAAACCCACATAATAAATAATTCAACTATAAGTAACCTTTCTGAGTAAATTAATGAAGTAGGGATAATGAATAATGGAAGAAACATTCAAAGAAAACCTTTTCCAGAGGATTTACAGAATCTCCCCATCCAGGAACCTTGCTGTAAAAGCTCTAGCTTTCTGTGTCAGAAAGGAATGGGCCTGTGAATTTTACTCTTTGGAGAGACAATGTAGTTGGGTTAATTATACTCAGATTGGAACCCGAGTTCAAGAACCACTAATCACAGAAGAAAATCATCAGGAACAGGGTCAGGCAAGTAGACTAAGGTCAAAAACATGGAGTTAAAGTTCTCTAAAAGGGCATGAACTGAGGTTAAAAAATACAGTAGAACTTAGCCTGACTGACAGGTCTAATGCAAGCCCCAGGTAAGCAGTTAGGAGCATCAATGTTCACAGGCTGCAGGACACCTGGTCTGCAGGTGCTGTCTTCTCATGTGATCAGCACATATGTGTTCATACTGCTTTGGAACTGCCCACATGTTGACTAAAAACTTTAATTCTTTTGCCTTGTTTGAGTTTGGCCACTCTTGATTATACATGTTAATGAAACGAAGCAGCCAAAGTCTTCAGCATTTGGCTCACATGTTGCAAACCATTCTGAGGCAATGTACTCCATCTCAGAGATGTAGTTTGAAAGTGTATTGACTAAACTGAGAAAATTAGCCTGCAGTTGGTAGAGTGCTTGCCTTGCATGCACAATACCCTGGGTTCAATCCCTAGCACCACACACACACACACACACAAAAAAAAAAAAACAGAAAAAAAATAGCCTAGAATTATGTAAAATTGCCATTCATAATCCAAAATCAATAATTGATATGTTAATTTTTTTTACTTTGAATCTGCAGACACCCCCTGTACCTTTTGTGAAATGTCATAAAAAAAGGCTTGTGCAGTTATTCAGCATTCACGTAATCTGTAGGTATTGTATTGACTTGAACTTGTTTAGTTGACTGAAGCAGGGTTTCTCAAACTTCAGTGTGCATCAGAATGACATGGAAGTCTTGATAAAGCCATGCCCTTACCATCTTCTAAGACATTTTGTCTGGGGTTAGGAGTTTGCATTCTAACAGCTTCCCAGGAGACCTGCTGATAGGAATTCTGCTCCTTGGAAATCACTGCATTAAACTTTTCTCCAATTATTATACATTGGCATATTCTAACTGTGGATCTTAGTTTTATGTTTTATGAAAAAAATTCTTTTTTTTATATTCACATATTACCTAGGATGTTGGCTATCTTAGAGTAGAGGCTAGAAATATGGTGGACCAATGATCTTATTGACTAGATTAACTTTCAAAAGTGTGATTATTTTGCACATCTTGAAGACCAAGTCAGATTATCTGGCAGTGATCTGATTAATGATCTGACGAGCAGATGCAACTGTGGTCGAAAAGTACCTAAGTCTCCTATTGAATGGTTCAGTCTTCCTGACTAGATTTGCCTTCTAGGGGGAAGAATTAATGAATGTTAATTGATAGTAATTAAATCTTGCATCTTGCTATGGGTCATCAGAGGATACCTCCGTGGTTTACTTATGTGCAGACTAAGATACATGAAGACACTAAGAATGAGCCTCCAAGTTCTGAGCAGCAAAGATGAATTTCAGTAAAGAATTTTACTTATCTTCATTCTGGTAACATACTGTGGGCAATCTTCTGGGCAGATCCTATTTATTATGCTTCTTAGGGTTTTGGTCCCATTTTATAATGCCCCAAAAGATGGAGAAAATATTCTGTTGTTTTGAAAATGGATATGGGATTTCTGACATAATCAATTTTATCGACTTCTTGAGAGTCATAATGATCTGTGATTCACTGCATAATAGTGTAGTTTTATGAGGTTGTACATCAGCCTGTGTCAGACAACTTTTAAGACTTGTGGCCCAATGAGGATAGGAAGTGAGGTTTATTATGAGTAGCATTTACTAAGCATTCATTAGAATCAAGGTACTGTGTTAGCTGCTTAGGTTACAACAAACAATTTAATAAGAAAACGAAGGACAGCTACCAAAGTTACCTGCACAGTGACCAGTGTTATTGGAAACACACATCAATGGAACTCAAAGCTAAAGCTGAAAGAGAAGATGAAGAATAGATTACGGTGTACTTTCAAGGGAGAAAAGAAGGCTTCTTGGAATAGTTTCCTGAAAAGAGGGGAAGGACTAAGAAAGGGTCACTAAAGAAGCACCCCAGGAACAGACACCCCCAGCTCTCCTAGATATCTGCACAACCCATCTCTGGGGCTAGAAGGATGGAGTAGGATGAAGGGATCTGGGCCTGGAGCCTGTTTCTACATGTTTGACCCTCACAGCCACAGGAAGGTGTGAATCCTACCCACAGGCAAGGAAGCTAGCTTGGGGAAGTTGAAGAACTTGCTGAAGGTCCTCCCAGATTTGGAGGAGGAGGCAGGATCTGTCTGACTTCAAATATAGTGCTCTTTCTTGCACTCTGCATTGCACAAAGGAGCCAGTGCAGGTTCAAGATCAGATTCAAAGGGATGGGTATGAAAAATCATTTGTTGATCCAAAAAATTTTTAGTAGGCACACAAACCTTGTTATTACATCTACTTTCTTCACTATCCTGGTCCTCTGCTGTACACATGGCCTCTGCTGTGAGTTGATATGAGTTAAGTGAATTTGTTGATGCATTGAATAAATTTATTTATTTATAAATTTATTTATCAGTGGCATCCTTTGTGTCAGGCACTGTTGTAGTAGCAGTGAAAGTCAAAACCACCAGGAACCCTGTCCTCATAGAGCTTACATTTGAGTGAACGCATGTTCTCCAGTCTTAGGTCCCTCTATAAGCTCTTCCTAAGGGGTTGAGAACTTTTCTTGTCCTGTTGCATTCTCATAATGCTGAGTGGCCTGTCGGTTCTCTATTAGTGTGCACTAAGCAGTCTGTGACATGCTTTGTGGTGATCATGATAGCCCATATTATTCTGTTAACTCTTGGTTTCTTCAGGGCATTATTTAGCTACCAATGGCTTCTTCAGCATGCTTCTTCCAGGGGTCTAAAACACCCCCCAAACCTCACCTCACCTCACACAATGCTGGAATTGCCTGTTGGGTTATCTTTCCTCCTGCCCAAAACTCAAATTCCCTGAGGGCAGAGGCTATGTCCTGCTCATTTTTGTGTCCCCCTTGGGTAGCACAGCACCTGGCATGTAATGTGGCTCAATAAATATCTGTAAAATGAACGAATCAAATAGTTCTTCAAGACTTCCTCAAACTCATTGGTATCTAATGTGTTGAGACCGCTGTCCAGATTGTACCCAAAATTTGTCTTTCTAGTATCCAGAATATTATCATTTCACCATTCTTGGATAAAACTCATGAATTTCCAATACTAATATCTGATTTATCTTTGAAAATAGATATTATATATGTTAACATCAACTTGCTCTATAGTGGAAAATATTTCCAAACCCATTTCTAAGCAATGATAAAACAATATTTTTGGCAGGGAATAAAGGGGGTTGTTGTGTTTTGTGCCTGTCTTTTTGTCCCAGTTATTTATTTATATTTGATGGTCCATGGCCTTGACTTGCAAGTATTTTCTTGGGAGGCATTTTTATGCCAAAGATCTATATTGCCTGTCAAACTTACAAACCTTGTTATGGCTGTCACTGACCTTGTTGGAGAATTTTAAGGTCACCTCTATAAATAGCAAGAGAAAAGTCACAGTTTCTTTTTTTTTTCTCCTTAATTTAAAAATATTCTCAGACACCGACATTAATTAAAATAGGAGGTAAGAAAGTAGAAAAATCTGATATGCAGGAGATAAGGCTCAGTTAACATCATCATGTCTAGTAGTATGCCGGTTTATTCACATATCATTGAAGCTTTAGACAACTTATTGAGCTGGATTCTGTTACTTTGGGATCAAGAAAAATGAGCCAGAGAAAAGTTGACTCTTGTCCTGAGTCACATCACTGTTGGCATGGGAATACAAACTGAAATTTTTTTTAACCAAGTTCAGAAAACATCTGCCCTGAAATATATAACAAAAATTAAAAGTATCTCCAATTTGCAAATGAATACAACTAATAAATATATGTGTGACTTTTATTTTCTTCTTCCTCTTCTTAAATTTGTCCTCCCATGTTGGCAAAGGTTAAAGCTGTTGACAAGAATACATGCAAATGGGCCTCCTTGTTCACTGCCAGCAGGGATGAAAATTGGTTCAACCTTTCTAGGAAGCAATTTGGCAATATGCAGCAAAAATTTTCAATGATGACACAATTTTACCCAACAGTTTGTTTAAGAGTTTATCTTAATTGATAAAAATCACACAAGTGTCTAACCATGAGCCCAAAGATGTA